CCGGGGGCCCGAGTGGAGGGGGTGTTTTTTTCTTGTCCCGCAGGTGCCCGCAAGTCCCGAGCAGGCGCTAGTCGTCTCGGGAGCGGGCGATGAGGGAGGTGGCGGAGAGGGAGGGGCGGCGCGCTGAGCGACGTGGGGGACTTGTTCGTGACTGGCGAGGCGGAGCCGCCCGAAGTGTGCCATACGATTTGCGTCCAACCAAAGAAGGGGTGGGGTTGGCGCCCCAGTTGCGTCGGGGGAAAAGCCCGCGAGAAGATTCGCGGCAAAAGAGTCAGGGAGTTGGCGGCCGGTGTGCCCATCATCTCCGTGGACTACATGCTGTGTGTGCGCGCGTGCGTGCTTGCGTGCGTGCGTGCGTGCGTGTGTGCGTGTGTGCGTGTGCGTGATGTGTGTGAGAGAGAGAGAGAGAGAGAGAGAGAGAGAGAGAGTGTGTTTTGTTTGTGTGTGGTGTGTGTGTGTGTGTGTTTGTGTGTGCGTTTGTTAGTGTGTGCGTGCGTGTGCGTGTGTGTGCGCGTGTGTGCGTGCGTGCGTGCGTGCGTGCGTGCGTGCGTGCGTGCGTTGTGCGTGCGTGTGTGTGTGTGTGTGTGTGTGTGTGTGTGTGTGTGTGTGTGTGTGCGTTGTGCGTGCGTGCGTGCGTGCGTGCGTGTGTGTGTGTGTGTGTGTGTTTGTGTGTGGTGTATGTGTGGCGCGCGCATGTGTGTGTTGTGTGTGTGTGAGTGTGTGTGTGTGTGTGGTGTGTGTATGTGTGGCGCGCGCGCGGGTGTGTGTGTGTGTGTGTGTGCGCGTGTGCGCGTGGGGGGGGGTGGGGGGCGATGAGGGGGGGGGCGGGGGGGTGAAGGCGTGCCAGTGTTGGTTGTGCATCCGAGGCTCGGAGAGCTGACGCGGAGCAAGGCGGCGCTGCACAGAGGTCCATGCCCATATTCAGTTGAGGCCACGATCGAGCTGCTTGCGCTCGCGGGTCATACACGCGTCGCCGTCAAACGCGGCTGCGAGCCCGCCGTCGCCGCCCCCAAGGAGGCGTCGACAGGTCAACGTGATTTTGAACTCGGGGGTCGAAGTTGGCCAAGTGGGGGGTTCGCAGGCAAACGTAGGAGTCGCAAGGGCCGCCGCAACGGCGCAGGGGCACGTTAGAATGATGACGAGTGCATAGGGCAGCAGCTTCAAACTTGCATATGGAGAACACCATGCGCTGATTCTTTGCGGTATGTCTTGTGCGCCGTCGGTCGTCAACAAAGTTTACACTGGGCGCCGATGGGGGGGGGCGGTGCGCGAGGGATGCGGTGGGAGAACATGTATTAAACAGTTGCCGTGCTTCGGCGAGTGCGTTATGATTGAAGGTGCATAAGATAAACCTGCGGTGAAATTAGGGCCCGATGGGGCAGCGTCGCGTATCTGGGTCTCAACGAGGTCAGCCATGAGTTCAGCACAGGAACTCCCGCCCGAGCTGTTAAATCCTAGGAAGTGGGAGACAAGGGAAGTGAATGCGAGAGACGGGGCATCGAACGAGTTGCGAACGTGAAGGGGTTGCCCTGTTTGCCAGGTTCGAACTGCAGGGCGCGCCGCCAAAACAAGGCTTATAATCTCCATTGTAAAGGAACTGGACGCGGAGATGGCCATTGGCGCGAAGCCTGCAGTGGCCAGGGGGATTTCTGTTCAAGAGCGGAATATTTCGCCGTGGGCACACCCCCGGGCCGCTGCTGGTGCAAAGCACGAGCGGGGGGGCGGGCTGATTCTGGCCATTAAGCCACGCAGCGCGGATTGTCGAGGAGCGTGGATGGCCGAAACATTCAAGTGAGGTTCGTAGCAGGAGCTCGACCGAGGCAGGAATCACAATTTAACGACAAGAAAGATCAGCTGCTAAGTAGAGCTCAGATGGCCCAGAGTTGTTAGACGCATGGACATTTGGGAATTACAGCGCACACCAACTACATCGGTTGCCACTAATGAAATTATGCTTGCCAGATCGGCGCCTTTCGGTGGGTGTCAGCGGGTGTGTGGGTGTGTGGGGGGAAGGTAAATTCGGGGCGGGGAGAGTGAGTCACGGTATCGTCAACATCACTGGAGGGATACCAGAAATTGAACATGCATGGAGGGAAGTAGGAGAGTAGGAGTTGGGGTCGTAGTGGGCAGCATGGGGCGAATCTAGGGAAGTTGAAGAAGCAATGACGAGGTCGAGAACACTCCACCGCCACATTTCCCGCAACCAGAGTCAGCAGCAGCTGAGGACGTCTGAGGATATTGGCAGTGAGATTGACCCCGAGGGTTTGCCCGCTGAGAAGAACATCGTGTTAGGTGGTGATGAGGTCGAGCACATGAGTGAAGGTCGCCGAGGATTTTGCACTCTCGGGTTGGATGAGGAAATCACCGCTTTGCTGCTGGGCAGTGAAACGCAATACACTTGCGAAGCGTGCGAATTCAGAAGAGCGGACAGGCTATATGGAAAGAGCCAACAAGCCGTGCAAGACCATATCAGCGAATCATACTTTCCAGCAGGGGGACAGGTATGGCAACCACAAGAGGGGCATGTACGTGGGTTAGGTGGTGAGCGCCGCTGTCCATGGTAGTTTAACACATCTGTTTCGAGGGGGGAGGCACAGATCCTTGTAAAGAACAAGTGAGCGCTCCTGCTCATTGTCAGCCCGATTCGTTCAGCATTCAGCAGGCTCGAAGCATTCGGCATCAAACGACTAGGGACTGACAGAACTTCGGGAAGTGTTAGAACACGAGGTTCCGCATTGCAAGTTTGCCATGCAGCTGTGCGACTCTCAGCGGCAGAATTGGTTTCACTTCCTATGTGAGCATCCTGCTGGTTGTTCCAGTTTGAGCGCGAGCCCTGTCCAGGTAGTGCTAGACACAACGACGTTGACAAAGATGAAGGGGACACGTGCCGACATGGCAGTTACAGAGAGCCGACCGAGAGGATTTAAGCTTACAAGAACCCGTGAGCTTTATCACGCACCGTGTCTGCGTTGGTAAGGAAATCAGTTTCAGATGTCAATCGCAAGGTTTCCATGCAGAGTTAATTGGAGGAGGGGGTCCAAGAGATTTGAGATCTATCATGATAAGCTATGCCGCAGCACGCTCGCAGGGCGTGTTCGGCAGGAGAAGTTGGACGATCACGTGGTGTGTCAGTGCCACTCTGATGAGGGCAAAGCGATCTGGGTAATTTCATAATATTGCGAGCACGCAGTAAACATACACAGGGGAATCTTAGCACAATAAACAAGAAGCGACCAACGTTGAGTGGGCCAGAAGCGATTGCCGCACCGGGAGACCCATGCTACCAGGAGAACAGGGCCCGAAGTGGTGTGGGTGTACCAGGTGGGTTACCGAGGATTTTAACGCTGGAAGATTCATCGAGGGCCAGCTTGTTATTGAAATAAGGGGAACGAATATGAGGACAGAGTTGAAATAGTGCCCAAGGGTACTGAGACAAAGCTCGCAGACAGATCCATAAGAGGCACCCAACACATAAGTAGACATGTGGCAGGTGTGAACATGAGGGTTGGTTAAACATGCAGGGTGCGATCGACGCATGTGGAGCACTAGGGCGCGCCACTCTGATCGCGCGACGGGATGTTGGTTCCTTCGCTATTCTGATGATGGGGGAACGCAGCATGAGGTGATATCTCACGTGCAGAGTGAAATCCCGAAACGATTGGGAGGGCCAGAACGGCGGCAATGGAACATCTAAAAAACGGAGTTCACAAGACAGTAAACAGGAGGTGTGTTGTGGAGGTTGTGCTGCCGTCCTCGCCAGCGTTTTGAGTGTGCACTTTCAGACGATGTTGGTTTGGCGGTCGAGGGAGCGTTTGATGGTGAAAAAACAATGAGGATGATGATGCTGATGATACTGATGCGGATAATGATGATGCAATGATGATGCTGCTGCTGATGATGATGACGACAGTGATGATGCTGATGCTGATGCTGATGCTGATGCTGATGCAGATGCTGATGCTGATGCTGATGCTGATGCTGATGCTGATGCTGCTGATGATAGTGATGCTGATGCTGATGCTGCTGATGCTGCTTATGCTAAATATGAGGATGATGATGATACTGATGATGATGCTGATGCTGATGCTGCTGCTGATGATGGTGATGATGCTGATGGTGGTGGTGGTGATGATGACTGCGAGGCTGATGATCATGGTGAGGACGAGAAGCAGGATGAGGCGGATGAGGAGGAGGAGGAGGAGGAGGAGGAGGAGGAGGAGGAGGAGGAGGAGGAGGAGGAGGAGGAGCTGGAGGAGAAGGTGCCTGGCCTCTCGGGGCGAGGGGCCAGACCGCGATCTTTGATCGTCTTCCTGGACCCGCGATCCCCGATCGAGGGCCGAGGGCCGCGATCCTCGAGCGCCGCCGCAGGGCGCGCCGCCCCAGGGCGCGTGGCCTCCGCTGTGTGCCTCGTGGCTTCCCCGACCTCCTCGACCTCCCCCTCCCCCTCCTCCTCGACCTCCCCCCTCGACCTCCCCTCCTCGACCTCCCCCTCCCCCTCCTCCTCGACCTCCCCCCTCGACCTCCCCCCTCGACCTCCCCCTCCCCCTCCTCCTCGACCTCCCCCCTCGACCTCCCCCTCCGCCTCCTCCTCGACCTCCCCCTCCGACCTCCTCCTCCCTCTCCTCGTCGACCTCCCCCTCGACATCTTCCCGCCAGCGCACGAGGCAGCCTAGGGAGCTGCAGGCCCGGGGGGAACTCGGGCTTCCCCTTGCCTTTCACTACTCGCCGTCAGCGCCACACTCAATCAGTTTTATCGACTTCTCGCTGGATGCGATGGAGCTCGCTTCTCCTCATCCTGTGATCGACCTCCTCCCGGCCTCCCCCTCGACCTCCTCTCCACGACCTCCTCCTCGGCCTCCCCCTCTCCTCCTCGGCCTCCCACTCGACCCTCCCCCTCATCGACCCCCCCTCGACCTCCCCCTCCTCGACCTCCCCCTCCCTCTCCTCCTCGGCCTCCCCCTCGGCCCTTCCCCCGCGGCGCCCCCGGCCGCCCCCGGGAGGCCCGGCCGCGCGGCGGCCCCGCCGCCCCCAGCGCCTCGCGGGAGGTGGCCGAGGCGCCGCGGCTCCGCCGGCGGTGGCCCCCCGAAAACGTGGCGCCGGAGCGCTCGGCGGCGAAGCGCGCCAGACGTCGTCGGCGTCGTCGTCGTCGTCGTCGTCGTCGTCGGCGTCGTCGTCGGCGTCGGCGTCGGCGTCGGCGTCGGCGTCGGCGTCGGCGTCGGCGTCGGCGTCAGCGTCGGGAGGAAGGGAGGGAGGAGGGGAGGGAGGAGGAGGAGGGGGACGTTCGCTCGCCGTACGGGGGGCTCGCAGGAGACCCAGGCAGTGGAGAACGAGGCGCGGGTACAGCAGCATCGGCGACTTTTCCTCCCCGGATTGCGGGGATGCTGGCCACAGCTCCGAGCACAACTCTGGCCGCAGTCCGTGTAGCAATTCCTGACGAGAGTCCGCCAGGCTCGGCGTCGAGCCAGGGGGAAGTGAGAAGGGCGGGCCTTCTCAGAAGGCTCGGAAGTCCCTCGGCCTTCTGAGAAGTTTTCTAAGCCTCCCCCAAAGACACAGAAAGCCTCTCAGAGAAGGCCAAAGCGCTTCTGAGAAGCCCCGCCGCCTTCTGATAAGGCCTTCTCCTTTTCACTTCCCCCCCTCGCTCGCCGCCGAACTGTGCCAGGGGTGTTCCCAGAAATCCAACGCTCCAGCAAACATTGAAACGGATGGTTTGGGGCCGTTGTCGGTCTCCAGGCCCATCGAACATGACCCAGGACGAGAGAACGGTCCTAGGTCTTGCTGAGAGGAGAGTACAGGGTTAATGACGATCGGGGTCCATCGCATAGCATACGTGGGGACAGAGGGAGGGTAATTACCATCTGCTGACTGATCATGATTGGTCGAAGTTTTTTCTCACTCCGATGCTGCAAACCCTAGACCGTCGCCACAGCGTGCTAGAACTAAAACTCGCGTGCATCAGCATTCGAGCCTTCCGTCCCAAGATGCCCCCAGACGGCCAAAGAGGACTTGACGGGCGCTTCCCAGAGGGACGCAAGATGCAACACCTGATGATTTTCATTCGGTTGTTCAATGTTTTGGGGGTTCTCGCCTTTTCGAGCGTCCGACGCTCCACGACAACTCAAGAGGCCCCCAAGACCGCCCCAAGACGGCCCAAGAGGCCCCCACGAGTACCCCAAGACGGCCCAAGAGGGCCCAAAGACGGCCCCAAGAGGCGCACGAGAACAGGAGCCCGAAGCGACAATTCGAGCCATCTGTCCAGACAGCCCAAGAGGACTCGACGAGCGTTCCCCAGAGGGCTGCAAGATGCAACAACCCTTCATTCGGTTTTACAAAGGTTTGGGGGGTCTCGACTTTTCTAGCTTCCGGTGCCCCGCGACGTCCCAAGAGGCCCCAAAGACGGCGCAAGACGGCCCCCAGACGGCCCAAGAGGGCCCCAAGACGGCCCTGGAGGCGCCCGAGATGACCCAAGAGGGCCCCAAGACGGCCCAATAGGGGCCTAAGAGCAGGAGCCCGAAGCAACAATTCGAGCCTTGCGTCCCAAGATGCCCCCAGGAGGCCCGAAGAGGCTCCCAAGAGGCCCCAAGAGGCCCACATGAGAACCGCAAGCCGCCCCAAGAAAAACGCTTCCACGAGAGCCCGAACCTAATTACATTGCCCGTAGGAATTTTCAAGGAGTTTCCAGGATTTTCCAGTTTCTTCCTTTTCCGTTTGCCCGCGCTCCACGACGGCCCCTAGGACCCCGAAGATCGCCCCCAGACGGCTCACGAACGATGCCTCAGGGAGGGTGCCACTACGGCCCCAGAGCGCCCCAAGATGGCCCACGAGGCCCCCAGGCCGCCACAGGGCCCCAACAACGCGCCAAGGGCGGTCCCCGAGGGTAAACGCGTGCCGACTTTTTTTTTCCCCGCTCAGGCAAAGTCATGCGGTACAGGTTCAAGTGTTTCGTCTGGCAACACTACAGGGTCAATAATCCTCTGGTCTGCCCCCGCCGGACTACAGACGCAAGTGTACACAAAGTGTAGACAGCTGCTAAGGTACATCATGCGGACACGCGCGCCGACGTACGAAGCCTTCCGCCCCAAGAAGTCCCCAGGAGGCTCCAACAGACCCCCACGTGGCCCGTCGTGGAGACCTCTCTTGGGGGTTTTGTCGGGGTCCTAGAGATTGACACCGACACCAGTATCGGCGGTGTGCCTCCACCGAGGGAAGACGATCCCGATCTCGGTGATGGTGGTAATATTCTGGCTTCCAAGGTGGTCGAAGTATTACCACCAACACCGAATTCTAGGATCGTCTCCACCCTGTGGAGGCAGCCCCGTGTCTTGGTGTTGGTGCCCATTTCCAGGCCTCCAAGGTTTTGTCGGGTCTCAGGAAAAGCCCCAGGAGGGCCCGCCATTTTACGCACGGCTGACACACACCGCTGCCTCGTGAGGGATTGAGTTGTGTCAGATTTGTGTTGGATAGTTGGATCTCTTGGGGCGCTCTTCGAGCCCCCTTGGCGCCCATTGGGGCCCTCCCAGGCCGTCCCGGAGAGCTCTCTTGGGGGCGCTTCGGGGTCCCAGGAGAGCCCCAGGAGGGCCCCAAACATCAGTGCAGGTGTGTCACAAACCGCAGCCCAGTGAGGGACGGCGTTCTGTCAAGCTTATGTCAAGTTCTTGGTATCTTGGGGCGCTCCTGGAGCTCCCTTGGGGCCCCTTCGAGCCCTCCCAGGTCGTCTTGGAGAGTCCTCCTGGGAGCCTTTTGGGGGTCTCAGGAGGATCCCAAGAGGGCACAACATTTACCACCGCATTGACACAACATTGTCCCCGACGAGGCTCGAAGAAGCTTTGAATTTCAACACACGTATAGCACAAACTGTTTTCTTGTAGAGGACGGGCTTGTGTCTCTTGGGAAGCTCCCAGAGCTGCCTTGGGGTCCCTTCGAGCCATCCCAGGCCGTCTTGGATACCTACGACGGATTGCAGCATGCGCCCAGGGCTTCTCCAGGAGTATCCGAGCGATGTTTCTGGAATCGTGTCCAGGAACATCCGCACGATGTTCCCGACTCTTTTCCGTGAATGTCCGACCGGATGTTTCGAATCACGCAGAGGAGAGGTGTCGGAGGACGACGAGGACCCTGGACGGTACGCACAGGTCTCAGGGTGTCTCCCGAGTTCCGGGATGGGAGGCCCCAGAAGGGTCAACCACGTCAAAACCCGCACAAAAACGTACAGAGTCGACGACGACGACAACGACGACGACAACACTGGCCGCAGCAGTAGCGGTGGCGGCGGACAAAGCCCGCATGCTGGACGAGCGCCGGCGGGAACCCCAGGCCTTGGGCAACCGCGGCGCCGAAAGCGACCCCGCGAGGCCCAAGAAGACCCAAGATAGTTTACAAGTCTCGATCCTCGACCCTGGATCCCTCATCTTCCCTCGATCGTAGACGACTGCGACGACGTTGGCGGAACGACGACCACGACCACAACTGCGACGACCGCGGCGACGGCGACAGTGACGACGAGGAGCTCCGGCGACCTCCAGTGGACTGACGGCGACCACGACGACGACAATCGATCGACGACGGCCGACGGCCTCCACAGATCTCCAAACTCTGGAGGTCTCTTGAGGCCCCAGACAAGCATTACACACCCCAGAACGTGCAGTCGTCCGACCACGTCCACAGACGACGACCACCGCCACTACGACTGTTACGATCAAGTCGGGCCTGTCCCTCTACAAGAGGAGTATCCCAAAGTAGTAAAGAATAGTATGGGGAAGATTTTGCGATTCTTCTTCTTCTTGTTCTTCTTTTTTATTATTATACGATTTTGAATATTCTTAGGATATTTTTGAGTTCTCGTGCAAAATCCGCCTGTAGGGGGAAATGCCCGACCTAACATTACGACGACTAACCGCGGCGATCGTCACGACGACGGCGGCGGTTGCGGCGGCGGTGGCCGCGGGGGCGGCGGCGGCGGCGGCCCGGCGGCCCCGAGCTTTTTGGGGCCCTCCTCGACCACCGTGGCAGTCACTTCGCTTGCGCAGCGTGGGAATTGTTGAAGATCACTGTTACGACATCCACGTGCTTCCCTTCCCGACGCCGTTTCGTGGTATGGGAGTTCAAAAAAACTAGGTCGGCATGCCCGGGCTCAGTCTCGCGGACCTACTCTAAAACCATATCTTTAAAATTCCTTGTTTTGTTTCATGTCGTGTCGTCATCGCGCGAGTGATGCTCGAAAACCTAGTTTTTAAAATGGCCACGGTGATCTTCCCCCAGATATTCCTCCGAATTGTCGTCCAGATCTTCACCCAGATCTTCCCCCAGATGTTCCCCTTGATCTCCCCGCAGATCTTCACCTAGATCTTCCCCTCAGATCTTCCTCAGATCTTCCTCAGATCTTCCTCAGATCTCCTCCAGATTTTCCTCAGATCTTGCTCAGATCTTCTTCACAGGGCTCAAGCTAAACACTGTTTACTTGTTTTTGTTCCTGTTGTTTTCGTTTTCTGTTTGTTATTCGTTCTAAACGCGTTCGGGAACACGTTTTGTGCGGACTCTACATAGTAGGCGCGGGCCTGCTCGTTTCGGGAATGAGGCCTATGTCGTGTTTGGTGTTTTGTTCTCGCGCGGGCACGAGCCGTACGTTTTGTTCGCGTTCTGTTTGTGTGCGAGAAGGGTGGCCATGTTTTGTTTTTTTGCGCCCGTTTTCTGTTCCCGGCGTCTTCACATTCGTTTTCACCCAGCCTTGCGGATCTACTCTAAAATCAGATGTTTGAAGTTCTTTGTTTTGTTTCATGCTCTGCCGTCATCGCGCGAGTGATTTTCGAGAACATAAGCTTAAAAATGGTAACGGCGATATTTCCCCAGATATTCCTCTGGACTTTCTTCCAGATCTTCCACCAGATCTCCCCCCAGATTTCCCGCGATCTTCGCCCAGATCTCCCCCCAGATCTTCCCCTAGATCTTCTGCCAGATCTTGCCTTAGATCTTCCTCCAGATCTTCCCCCAGATCTCCACCCTGATCTTCCTCCACATCTTCCTCCAGATCTTCCCCCAGATCTTCCCCCATATTTTCTTCCAGATCTTCCCTCAGATCTTCCCCCAGATCTTCCCCCAGATCTTCCCCCTGATCTTCGCCCAGATCTTCCCCCAGATCCCCCCGGATCTTTCTCCAGATCTTCCCCCAGATCTTCCCTCAGATTTTTCCCCAGATCTTCCCCCAGATCTTCCTCCCAGATCTCCCCCCCCGGTTTTCCCCTTATCTTCCCCAGATCTTCCCCCAGATCTTCGCCCAGATCTTCCTCCAGATCTTCCCCAGATCTTCCCCCAGATTTTCCTCCCAAATTTTCCTCCAAGATCTTCCCCCAAATCTCCCCCCAGATCTTCGCCCAGATCTTCCCCCCAGATCATCCCCCAGATCTTCCCCCAGATCTTCCTCCCAAATGTTCCCCCAGATCTTTCTCCAGATCCTCCCCCAGATCTTCCCCCGGATCTTCCCATCAGATGTTCACCTAGATCTTCCCCATCAGATCTTCCTCAGATCTTCCCCAGATCTTCCACCAGATCTTCTCCAAGATCTTCCCCCGGATCTTCCCCCAGATCTTCCTCCAGATCTTCCTCCAGATCTGCCCCTGGAGCTTCCTCCAGATCTTCTTTTCGATTTTCCCCTAGATGTTCCCCCAGATCTTCCCCCAGATCTCCCCCCTGATCTTCTCCCAGATCTTCCCCCAGATCTTCCCCCAGATCTCCCCCCAGATCTTCGCCCAGATCGTCCCCCAAATCTCCTCCCAGATCTTCCTCCCAGATTCCCCCCCGAGATCTTCCCCCAAATCTCCCCCCAGATCGTCCCCCAGATCTTTCTCCCAGATCCCCCCCCCAGATCTTCGCCCAGATCTTCATCCAGATCTTCCCCAGGTTTTCTCGAGATCTTCGCCAATATCCTCCCAGATCTTCGCCCAGATCTTCGTCCAAATCTTCGCCGAGATATCCCCCGAGATCCCCCTTCGGATTTTCCTCCAGATGTTCCTCGGATCTTCCCCCAGATCTTCGCCCAGATCTTCCTCCACGCATTCCTCAGATATATCGCCAGATGCTCCAGATCTTCCCCCAGAGCCCCCCCCCCGGATCTTCCTCCAGATCTTCCTTCAAATCTCACCAGATTTTCCATCAGATCTTCCTCCAGGTATTCGCCCCGATCTCCCGCCGGATCTTCGCCCAGATCTTCGCCCAGATCTTCCCCGGATCTCTCTTCGAATATCTCGCCAGATTTTTTTTCCAGATCTTCACCTTGATGCCCCCTTAGATCTTCGCCCAGGTCTTCCTTCCTATCTTCGCCCGGATCTCCCCCCAGATCTTCTCCAGATTTTGTCCCTCGGATCTGCGCCCAGATTTTCCCCCAGATCTTCGCCTAGATCTCCCCCCAGCACAACTCCCAGACGAAACCTTGTTTTGTTTCGCGCGTAACTCGCGCGGTTCTAGTGTGTGGAGTGTGTGTATGCATGTATGTATGTATGCATGCATGTATGCATCTATGCATGGGTGCATGTGTGCATGTATGCACGCATACACAGTTGTCCACGTACATGTGTGTATGTTTATTTGCATGCATGCTATATGCATATATATCTGTACGCGTGCATGCATCCATACATGCGTGTATGTATATATTGTGCTGTATCGCGTTGTAATTTATTGTAGGGTCGTGCATTTCATTGTATTGTACTGCGCTGCATTGCATACACCCATATATATATATATACGTACACATGCTTGTGCGTACGTATGTAAGTCTGTCGGTATTCATATGTATATACACACATATACTAGGTAGGTCTGTTTGTTTGCATTTTGCATTCATGCATGCATGTATGCATGCATGTCTGTATCTATACGTCCGTACATTTGTATGCTCATGTATATGTAAAGTTCGCCGAGACCTCCGAATCCCCCGATACTCTCGATACCCTCGATGTCTTCGATCGTCGAAGTTGGATCGCGGGGAGCGGCAGTTCGGCCGAGCCTCCCCGCGGGCCGTGTGCCAGGCCGTTGCGGGCGCCGCCGGGCCTCCGCCGCCGCCGACGCGCGCGGAGCTGGCGCGGCTGGTGCTGAACCTGGTCGGCCTGCGCAGGGCGAGGACGGGGAGGAAGTCGGTGTCTCAGACGCGAAAGAAGGACGTACGGTAGGTTTGCGTCGTGTCGACCAGCGGCGACCCCAGCGCGGGCGTTCAAGGTTGAACGCCGCCGGCGACCCAGAATCGATCGACGTTGAACGATCGGACGTTGCGGCAGCGGCCGATCGTTCAAGGTTGAACGATCCCTGCGGTGTCAAAAACCAACGCTGGGGTCGGCACGACACGAACCTGCCGTACATGTACATGAATCCACGCTGGTTTCGAGAGCACGCCTTGCACAAATGTTCGTATCACGCGGCCGGTCTCGCGAGTCGAGGGGCCGTGTTCATGTACATTAGCTGGGTGCGTGCGTCCTCTGTGGGCTCCCCAGTATTGTGGAACCGACCCCCTATCCCCATCCCCATACCCAGCCAGACCCCCACCGTCTCAGCAGCCCAGTTGGGGATATGTGCCCCCGAGACCCGGAGGAAGCAGCCCACAACCCCCGTCTTGCGGGGGCAGGTCGGCCAGGGGCCCAGGCCACGCCCATGGGGATCGGGTCGGTCCAGCGGTGCTCGGGAGGGCTCTGTCGAGAGGCCCTCGTCCCCCCGCTTGACCAGAGGAAGCGCGAGCAGGGCCTGGGGCGCGCGCGGGTTAGCGAAGGACCCCGCTGCCGAGCGGAGTCGGCGCGCTCCGTCGCCGGATCGGGCGGCGCTTGCCTCACCTTCTGGGGGGGTATCCTCCCAGATCTACACTCTAGGCGATGCTTAAGAAAACCCAAGTTTTCGGCCAGAGCCTCGATTTTTCTTAATGTTTCAATGCAAATCCTAAGATTTGAATCGACATTCTGGGTTTGATTTCAAGTTCTGAGACTATGAATTTCTTAACCCATGATTTCTTAAGCATTTCGCAGGGTGTATGTTGGCGCGTGCCCGGCCTTCTCCCTCCTCCCGCCTTTTTCTCCCCCTTCCTCTCTTCGTTTCTCTCCCTTCTCTGGACAGATCGTCCCTGCTCGTCTGACCCCGAGGCGTGTCGGTAGGGCGGGCCAGGCGTTTCGTCCGAGAGTTCTTCACAGCTTCGGACCCTGAAGCGTGGGATTCATTGTGGAGGGTGGGCAGTCATTCGAGTGGAGCTCTCGCCACAGCGCCGCGCACGTTCGTCTTAACAGCTCGCACCAGTTACGAGGACGGACGGGGTTACTTGCAGGATGGAGCTCTCGCCTCAGCGCCGCGCACTCGGTGTTTGAGTGGCGAGTCAGCACCTGTGTCTTGGTGGTCTGGGGCTTTGTTTTGTGCACGTGAGCTTCCTCCGCACGAGGCTCGTGTGGGGTGCCCAGCGCCTCCCGTGCCGAGCTGGAGCGGTGCTCGCGATCGGCTGCTCGCGGGCGACCCTCTTCCCTCTCGCCTTCATACCTCTTCCCTCCCTCCCTCCCTCCCTCCTCCCTGACTGCTGCCCCGGCAAATTCACTGCCCCTTCGGGGTGCCGCCCCCTCGGGGCCCATATCTGCTCGGCGCCCCAGGAGCTGCAGGAGGGCGAGGAGGAAGGGTCGGTGAAGACATCCGTTCAACGGTCCAGTGGTACGGCCCTTGAGCCGGTGCTTGCCCGGACAGGTCCGCGGGTTCGTTACCCGACCCTTCTTGGGGTCGTCAGTCTCGCTTCCCCCATTCGTTCGGCCCTGCCAAGGGGCTCCACGAAGGAGGACCCGCCCGTGCGCCCCACTGCGAATCTGATTCACTCCTCCCTCACTTTCTGCCTGAAGGAGGGGGGGAGGGAGAGATGGAGAGGGAGGGAGGCGGGGGAGGGGAAGGAGGGTGGGGGGGAGAGAGGGGAAGAGATGGGGAGAGGGAGTGAGGGAAGGGAGAGAGGACGGAGGGGAAGGAGGGGGGGGAAGGAGAGAGGGAGGAGTGAGGAACACCACCGCGTCTGGGGCTGCTTCCGAGCCGGGTGCTGCTGTGGAGCAGGCAGGGCCGCCTACGATCCGATTCGATGCGATTCGATTCGCCCGCTAGGGCCGCGATTACAATTCGATGCGATCCGGCTCCATTTACCGGCTTCGGCCAGGGCCAGCCGGAAGCGGGGCGCTGCGATTCGATACCGATCCGAATCGGGACGATTCGCTGGCGATTCGATCCGCTCTCGATCCGATCCGATTTCGCGATCCGATCCAGCGCAGGCCTGACAGGTGGGAGGTGGCCCTGTTGAGTTTCCGCCTGCGCAGCGTGAGGTTCCCGATGCAGGCCTGCGCCTTGGCGAGGGGAAGGCCACTTGGCAGGGGGAGGGCTGGGCGATCACCGCCCACCAAACCGCCCCAACCCAACCCGAAGGCCCCGATCTGCCTTCCATTTCCAGTGGGGGAGGGGGGTCGGGGATCATTGAACAACACGCAATCCCAGAGGATTGGGCGCGCCAGAGAATTAGCCATCCCAGAGGATTGGCAATCCCAGAGAATTGCCATCCCAGAGGATTGGCAACCCCAGAGGATCAGCAATCCCAGAGGATTGGGGTGGTCTGGCAGGTAGTCCGTTGAAACCACGGCGGCTCTCCCTCGTGGTGTTCTCCTTGGCCTGGGCCCCCGGGAGGCCTCCTCTAGGGTTAAGTCGGGCATGTCCCTCTACAGGAGGAATTTTCAAAAATATAAAAAAATCGCCCGGGGACGATGTTTCTATTATTTTTGGACTACATGTTTTTCGTCCAAAGTCCGCCTGTAGGGGGACATACCCGACCTAACTCTAGGGGAACGAACAATGACAGAAACATAATAACTTGGAGATCCGCGCAGTTTCTCGGATCTGCGCTGGCGCCCTCCTGGCGGCGCCTCCGGCGCCCTCCCTGGCGCGCTCCGCGCGCTAGGGAGGGGGGTACAGCGCGTGACCCCTACCCGCACCCCCCACGATTTCTAAGCGGGGGTGGGGGTTCACTTTTTTTGGGAGCTCCCGAGCGAAGTGAGCCCCCCCCCCCATAGAACTCATCGTGTGGGGTGGAGGTTGGGCTCGCCTGTGGCCAGCAACGCGCGGACCTCCGCGTTTTGATGCTTCTGTCATTTTTTGTTTCCC